TTTGAAAATACCATTTTTCTCTTTTAAATAATAAAATTTCATATAAACTTCCACCCTGTTTGATTCTCATTATTCTAGAATGAAAATGAAAAATATAGACGTTATTTGGTCCCATGCAAGAGATAGAAATTCAAAATTGATGACTCGATGTGATGGATAACGATCATATTTTTCATTGTTATGAATGAAAAATGAGAAACAAATGGGGACTTAATATTAATTGTGTATTTTATGTGATTCAGAATTTTTCAACTACATATATCATCAAAGTTTATCAAAATCTAATAAAAATTTATTTTTATCTAAACTACTTAGGGGATACATGTATCATTCAAACTTTTATGCTATAATAAAAATAGTAAATATTAAGCTCATGTTTGATACAACTTAAAAGTTCATGAAAATCTAAGCAAACTCAACAATTAATTTTACTCACATATTAATAAGATCCATTGGTGATAGATTTGGGGGAGCCCGAGTCAACCCCCAACCTAATAAAAATGTTTAATATATATATTATTTTTATTTTTTAATATGTAAACTTCTTTTTTACATATTAGTTCGATTTAAAAAAAATAGTACTTTTATATAGGGCTGGACATGGTCCGATTTGGTTCTGAAGAGACCCGAATAGAACCAAAATTTTCGGATATTCAATAAATAAAATCGTCGGGTCCAAATATAATTATGAAACTGTTCAGGTTCGGTTCGATTTGAATCTGTACAATAATTAGATCTTGGGCTTAAGAATGAAATTAATAATTGGGTCAAAAAATTAAATTTAGAAATTGGGTTGGGCTGGGTTAGCTATGCATGGACTTGGCTTGAGAGTTGAAACATTAATCACTAAATTAGTTAATTTGCTAATTTGTTTAGAAAAAAATTAAAATAATTTATTAATTCAATATAAAAAATTTAAAAAATTATTTAGATTCGATTCTTATTCGATTTTTCGGTTCTTGTTCTAGAACTGAGAATCGAATCGAACTCATCGGTTCTAGATTCAGATATCCATTCGGGTATTTAACTTATGAAGAACCCCTCGGTTCGGTTCGGTTCGGTTCCGGAGTTTTGTTTTAATAACTTTTCAATCAAATATTTCATCAACAAAATTTATTAAATGTCTCATTTTTAACTACACCAAACGTGGATTAATTTAACTATTCTTATAATATTTTAATAATCATTTTTAATGAAATTTTTGACAAAAAAATAATTCTGTTACTTTAATTACGTAAAAATATCATATATTTTCAGTCATTTGACACCGTGTCGGTAAAGGTTATCTGAAAAAATAATAAAATAAGTTATAAATAAATTTAAAAACCAGTGTGGGTTGTATGCTCAATTATACAGTCTATACAAGAAGTTACGAGTGTAGGTCACATAACTTGAACGTTTATTTCATGTTGGTCACTCAACTTTAGACGTTTCAATTGTTTAACTGTTAGGAATGGTAACGAAATTTGTGACCTACCGGTGTATTTGTGACCAGTTAAAGATATTGACAATTAAAAAGTAGAAAAACACTTACAAAGATGATGACGTTTATAGTTCTAGGACCAAATATACAAGGTCCTTCTGTACCATCTCCTCGATACTCCAAAAGCACGTCTAAATAATCTCTTATCTTCTTTTGAATACAATCATTCTCCATGGTTCTCAACCTCTCTTGGAGGAATTCTCCAACAATATCAAAAGCGTGGTTAACATGAAACTGCGTTTTTCTTCTTATTCCTTGTGGATCAAGCCGTCTTAGAATTGGGAAGAAATCTGCAACATTTGCCTTACCTGCAAACTCCATAACCTTCCCTGCATGGAAAAAGAATTCGGATCCTCTTTCGGATTTCGGATCCAAAAGGTCCTTTGAAAATATGAGGTTGCCCATAAGATTAAAAGCCATCAAGAAAAAGAATCTCCTGATATCAATAGCAGTAGTTCCCGACTCACCCGATTCGTGTATGAATTGCACCATTTGATCAATACACTGTCTTCGTACAACTCGCATGGTGTCGAGTCGACTCGTTGTAAAGAACTCGGTGGTGCACAAGCGCCGTAGCATCCGCCAGTGCTGACCATATTGGGCCGTTATTAGTGACCCCTCATTGCCATAATCTCCTTTCATGGCTTCATATATTTTCCTTCCCGCCAAAACTACGTCGTGATTCTTGAACATTACACGCGCCGCCTCATTTGATGAAATCACCACCGTGTTCATTGACCCCAGCCAGATTGTCATTACCGGGCCATGCTTCTTAGCCAACTTAACAAATGACTCATGAGGTGCGCCTAAACCCAGTTGAAAAATATTACCTACCACCGGCCATGGCGTCGGTCCTGGCGGCAACCGCCCAACTTCCTTCAACTGTCGCTGTCCACTCGCCGTTGCAATTTTCCATGCAGCCCATAATAGTAAGGCCAGAATCAGGCCCCCAATTTCATATTCCATTTTTGGTAAAATAAAATTTGTTGATTACACGTGTAATATAGGGATTTCTGAAATTTTAAGAATTATATAGGTAAGAATCTACGATCGAACCTCAGTTTATTTACCTAAATTCTCCGAGTGACCAATGAGAGTAAATGTCGTACCTGAGGATGGTTTATTAACTAGATTTGAGGAAACAAAATGAAATCCCAGTAATCATATATATATAAGAGGAGATTTGTCCAAATTTTACAAAGATGACAAACACCGCATCTCTATCCTGTAACAAAATCCAATATACTATTTATCATTTTGTTTTTTAATGTTTGTTCACGAATATTACTAGTGATTGATTAGCAAATATAATTTTGATTAAAAAAAAATAATAATTAAATCTTCATAAAAATTAATGAAATGTGTTGAAAAATCAATAAGAATTATAGATCCCATGAAATGTGTATTTATAATTAATTGTTGATTTTGATCTCAAATAATTGTTTCGACAATTATAACGATTTGATATTTATCGTTCCTTTTTTTTTGTTATTCAATTGTCCCTTTATGCATATACAATAAATTAGATCAAATCTTGGTATGCACAATGGTATTTGTTAAGAGATAAAATCTCACATCGAATAAAGATGAAAATATAGACTAATTTATATAAGTTTGGGTTATTCATCTTAATAAGGTTGACCTTTTAAGATGAAACCTCAATTTTTAACATGGTATCAGAACCCATCAAACTCTAACAAGCAATTCAATCCAATTAAAACTAAAAGAAATGAGCACACGGATTTCAAGATCGATATGCTCAAACAAGCCACTATCTTGGGGGGCATGTTGAGGGATGAGATCTCACATTGAATAAAGATGAAAATATAGATCAATTTATAAAAGTTTGGGTTATTCTTCTTAGTAATGTTGACATTTTAAGATAGAACTTCAATTCTTAACAGTATTTTTGTCTACATCTTTCATAATTTTTTAAAAATCAATCATGTCGTGCACAATCTATCATGTGAATGTTTTATATATCAGTTTACCATAAGGAAAACTATCATTTGACAATTAAAAAACAAACACACACACACACACACACAAATTTTTTCTCTAATCATTTTTTTAAAACAAAGTAACCGTAAACATAATGTACACTTTGAAGTGTACAAAAATAGCACTTATTGAGGTGGGAACTGGGAAGGAAGGGATATGAGACTATAAGGTTACGTGTCATGATTTAACATTGGACAATCTTAGTGCGTAATAATCCTAACAAATAAAATCTTATGAATAATTTGGTTGGTTCAGTACGATTGCTAGATTTAAAAAAGGATTGAGAGAGACAATTCAGCTATACTTATATTAATTTACTTATTTTCAATTAATTCTTACTTATTATCACATTATCAAATGAAAAAACAAAAAATGACACGCATTATTGTCTGGCTCCTCTAATTAATTATTTTGACATATCTTCGTTCAACATTGGATGCTCTTGTGGTCCTAATCAAGAATACATACATCTCATAGTATTTGTTTTTCGAAGTTGAAAAATAATAAGTTGGTCCCCATTAGATGGAATCCACCTGACGACAACCAGGTCAAAGATGTGCTTAATTAGTTAGAATTTTTCAAAATAAACCTTGCGTAATTATCAAAATAATAATAATAATAATAATTTAGAGGGTTCTTTAACCATCAAATGTTTATTTTTAATCTTTTTGAGCTAATATCTTCTTTCTCACCTCAACTTCCATCTCTCTTCTTGTCACCCTTGCTACTACTGGACATTTGTGAGATTTCCGAGCTTTTCTTGAGATATTCAGTAAGCAGAGATCGTGAAACATTGGTTGCATATGACATGTGTACAAAGAGAAGACAGAGTTGGAATACAAGGTGGTTGTAGGGTAGGTGATGAGGAAGAAGACGAAGATGGTAATGAAGTTAGAATGTTGTGTTTAGAATATCAACTAAAAAGATTCCATTCTAGATAAATAGTAAGTCAAGTTATTTTTCATTTTCTCTCTTCAAATCTTAAACAAATTTCCTTCCTCATATGCTCATTACTCAGTTTTTTGGGAGCATTGATAGAGAAATCCAAGGACAACCAACAAATATAAGCAAATTAAGCCCCTATTTTGTGTAGATTAAGATCAGGTTATTAATAGATATTAATAAAAGTTGATTAAATGTGTGATTAAAAAGTTGTGGATACTATGGAATGTGTGGTTAAAATCATTTATTGACTTTGATTTCAAATTTTTATTAGATTTTAATCTACGCCAAACATGGACTAAATCTAATTTTAGCAAAGTTAAGAGTATATCACACAAATTGTTTTCATTGCTTATAGTTTTCTCCTTACAAATTCGTTTTATTTTATGACATAAACTCTAAATATTAAAAGAAATCTCCGGAAAGCTATTGAACTGCGATAGAAGAAAGAAAAACATGATGATTCAGCCATCCTCTTCCACCTCTTCTTCGAGGACCATCTTCTTCTTATTTTTGGAAGGCTTCTACTGATCACATATCAATTATGAGCGAAATTATGAAGTTATGTGAAGCACTTGGGCATGAGGTACCATTAAGCTCCCCGTTTCTAACAATATTCCGATAAAAATAGCAATAGGGCTAAATTTTATGACAACAATTCCACTAAATCCTTCTTTTGGAAAGAACGTGGAAATGCCATTAATATTCTAAAAGATGATAACTCAATCCACGTACCAATTTCTTCTTATGAAAACCTTTTCATGCTCTGCGTGAAATTTGTTAGTAGGAAATTTATCTCTTTATATTAAATAAAAAAGACTTCTATTTTAGAAGTCAATCGTGCTTTTTGGTGCCTAGTTTGATTATAGTTTCATTAATTTTATTAAAAGTATATAATCATATGATATAATTCTCACAAAGCATGTGGAATATTTGAGGTAATTAATCAAAAAATATATTATATATAATTGTCACTTAATTAGTTTTGGTTTTATATATTACTCTCTGTAATTTCTTAGGTGGCATTCATTAATTTGTACATTATTTTCATGAATATATTAAGGTAGGAGATAATGCCAAACCTATAAGGTGGGGGTATACTTAAACAATGTATTTTTGAAAAAAAGAAATACAAAGTAATTAAAATATATTTAATGTCAATTATTCATTTTGTCTTGTTTACCCACTTGCCAATACAAAAGACACCCTCCACGGTCCACTTCCTGTCTAAAGTCAAATTGAGGAAATTAATAATATAACATGGTCCCCGTGTCCTTTCACAAGTTTTATATTACCGAAATATAGGATAATTTATTGTATTTATTTTTTCCATATTAGTCAATTAAATAAAATTTTTCTTTCTTCTTCCAATTAATTTCTTATCTTTTATCTTGTTATTTGTTTGCGGTTATATATTTCATATCGTATCATATATATTATTTCGATCCGATTTATTTTCCAACAAAACATATTTATACTAATGTATTAGAACATGAAATTTGTATTCAATATCGTATATTGTTTTGTAACATATCACAAATTTATCTTCAATGTTGGACGATTTTTGTGGAACCCTATTCAATGATTTCAAAAAAAAAAATTTCAAAACTGTAAGTGCGGAAAACTCTTACATTAAGAGTCGAGCTATTTGTATATTCATTTTGTACATCTTCGTTAACATTCCATGATGTGTAAAAATGCTGACCGTTGATTTGAATAAGTATTAATCAAATAAGTAGTCAGATTGCCTATCACATCATGAAATGTCAACAAAACTATCAACCAAAATTGCAAGTGTAGCAAAATTATTACATTAAAAATTATGTTATTTGTATATTCATTTTGTACACCTTGGTTAACATTCCACATTGTGTAAAATATTTAGTCATTCATCTGAATAAGTGTTATTCAAATAAGTGACCAGATTGCTTATCATATCATGAAATGTTAACAAAACTGTCAACAAACTGTAAGTGTAGCAAAACTCTTACATTAATTATCGTTAGATTTCTTTTGAGAAAATTTTCCCAAGGGATTTATATTTTTGTTTGGGGTTATTCGTGAAACTTTTCCCTTTTATTTAGCCCATGTTTGGTGCACATTTTGTAGTAAGATTGCATATCTTTTATGTGATGGAAAATATGTGGTTGAAAAAAAAGGGAAAAGTTATTGATATTTTATTGAAGAATGTGTTGTTAAAAATGAGTAGAAAAATGAGAATGAAAAAAATAATGTGACTCAAACAAGGGCTTACTGTATTATTAATTTTACCCTAACCATCATGTAGAAGAAAGAAGTAGCCGTTAATTGAGATTGAATGCAATGAATTAGTGCATAAATTCTAGTGTTCGAAAAAGTCACTTAGACACGAACGAAATGCCATGTCTTGACGATGAGTACGAAATTAAGCAGTTAACTATTAAATTTATTGCTTAATGCGCGTCTAGGGCATGGTCTTCCTTATTAATTTTTTTTATTTTTTTTTAAAATTCTTTTATTTGATTTTAATTTCAATTTTTTAAATGTTTTTATCTGTTCAAGACTTGGAAATTGTATAATTGATTAATTGTAAAAATTATTAAGTAAATATAATATTTTATAATTTTAAATATGTATTATTTAATTATTAAATAATTTTTTAAATGATAAAAAAATTTAAAAAATATTAAAAATAAGATATATATATTTTTAAGTCTAGATATTGTCAAAACGAGTTAATACCCTAAATAGTCACTAAACTTTGTTAAAAGTTCTCAGGATGTCACTGAATTTCAAAACTTCTCTAATTAGTCACTGAACTTCGCAAAAAGTTCCTAAGAGGTCACTGAATTTCGAAATTATCATAAATAGTCACTGAACTTTTCCAAAACTACCTTAATTAGTCACTCAACTTTGCAAAAAATTTCTAGGGGTCACTAAATCATTGATGTATGGGGTCACAATTTGCAAAGTTCGGTGATCTCCTATGAACTTTTAACAAAGTTCAGTGACTATTTATGATAGTTTTGAAATTCAGCGACCTC